GAGAAAGCCATCAGCTCCTAACTTCCAAGCAGAACAGTTAACCGGCTTGTTGCAGAGCAGTCAGCCTTTCCCCTGTGAAGGGCTCTGCATAGAGCTGACAAGGGCACCCTGACTTCTTCCTGCCCCACAAGCAGAGGTGAGCTGAGGGTCCTCCAGCTGGGGTCTCAGTCTCTACCCACCATTCAGGATTTTGCAGATGCTGGGCTTTGACCTTGCCATCTCACCCTGGTCAGACATGGCTGTGTGAAAAGCAAGGACTCAAGGAACTGAGGCTAGCTCTCTAGTGCTGGAGAAAATCTAACACCATTAATTGTCCCAAACATTCTGGGGGAAATATACTCTTATGTGACTGTGGAAAAAAAAAACAAAAACAAAACAAAACAACATTTAATTCTCTCTTTAAGATGCACAAATATACAGTTTCGTTTTTGAAGGGAGAGGCGCAAGTTTTTGCAACAGAAAAAAAAAAAGATCTGTCCTGTTGACAAAACATTGGTGTATCTTTCTCCATTTTCTCCCCAGCATCCCTTTTACTAGTTGCTGTTTGCTGCCTTGACGCAGTTGTGAAAATGACTGCCTCTCCAAACTGCAGTTCACATGAAATGGGGAAGGAACGTATTGTTGCCACTCCCTGCTGGAGGAGCAGTCCGAAAAGCCAGGACTGCATGACAGATATCAGGTTTATGGGGCTGAAAGTCCTCACACAGGAGCACGTGTCCTGGTACGTTGCCAGCGGTGTTTTCAGCACAACACGCACAGAAGTCCCAAAATCACAGAACAGATGAGATTGGAAGAGAACTGTTGAGATCATCTGCTCCAATCCCCCTGATCAAAGCAGGATAAGCAGGCTGCCCGGGACCATGACCAGGCGGGTTCTAAGCATCTCTGCAAACTCTCCTGGGGATCCTGTGCCAGTACTCTGTCACCTGCACGGGTATCAGTGTTTCCCGATACTCAGAGGGAACCTCTTGTGAACAGCTTTTGCCCATTGCCTTTGACCTGGCGCTGGGCACTACTTAAAACAGCCTGGCCCCATCTTCTCTGCATTTTGCTTTCAGATATATTGACACTGATGAGATTCCCCCTGAACCATCTCTTCTCCAGGCTGCTGCAGCCCTCTCAGCCTTTTCTCCTAGGAGAAGTGCTCCAGCTCCTTTGTAATTTGTGTGGCCTTTGACTGGACTCTCTGCAGTAGCTCCATGCTTTCCTTGTATTCAGAAGGCCTGGAGCCAGCCACGTTATAGGAAGGTTTTTGCAGCTCTTGGTGGCCACTGAGTCAGCTCTGATGGCACCATGGGACTCCCAGCTCTGTGAGTGAGAGGACCCGCTTCCTTGTGCCTGAGTGCTGGCAGGGTGAGGCATGGAAGGCTGTGACCAGCACAGAAATGTGTCAGCATGACATGGCTTGGGTGCACTGGTCTCATGTGAGGTTTACTGAGGTGCATGAGGGTCACCTGGGAGCTCAGAGGTCTTCACAGAGAAGGTGGGGGCTGCTCTGCTGCAGGACGCACCCAAGATAGCAGAGGAGTCGAGGTGGGCTTTCCCACCGTTTCCCAGTGTTGGGAAATAGTTCTGGCTGCCTTCCTGGCCAGGAAGCTGCTTCTGTTCTGTGAGAAAGTTGTTTTGTCTGGCTGGGTGGAGAACAAAGGAGGAGAGACCAGTTATCTGTGTGGTGCATGAGTGGAGCCGATAACGTGTAGCTGCTCTTCCAGAGCAGATGCTTGAGATCTTCAGCTCCTGTATAGATGGCCCCACAGTGCAGTGCTCTGCCCAGCCCAGCTTTTCCCAGTTTCTGCATCTGGGCTACTGCTCATTTGTGCACTGGCGTTGGGCTGTTTACACATGCATGGCACTGAGTGTTGTTGAGAGCTCCAATAGAGAACTTCTAGGAGTGCTGAACCTGATTTCTCTGCAAGGATCCTCCTGTAGGCTCCGTAGGTTGCACTGTCTTAATAGCTGAGATCTGACAGCTATTAGTAGCCGTGCTGTTCTCATTAGAGCCAGCTGCAAGATCATTTCCTGCTGAGGAACTACGCCTTGTCCACTGTGAGACAGCTTGTGTGCTCAGGGGCTGGGATGCAGTCTTAGACTTTGCAAGGATTTGGGACAGTTTCTGTACATGAGACTTTACTTCATGTTCACATTGTGAGCAGGCTGTTCTGGTACACGAGAACCCATTGCATCACTTGTGACTCATTAGTCGAAGACTAATTTTACAGCCTCTTTGCCCCAGAATAATCTCAAGGCGGCAAAGCAGAATTTCCACCATGTTCTCTTTAACTCTGGCTGTTTATTTTTGGTATCCCTACCCCACATAACTCCCTCTTGGGCAGAACCTCTTGGATCTTGGCCCATTTCTGCACACTTCATCATGTGGAGCCTGATGGGTAATTCTGAAACTCTGGAATTCTCTGACAGATCCACAGGCAGAGGTTTGTGTGCCTGGATACCAACATGTTTCTCAGGTACTCTCCCATTCTTAGAGAGGCTCTTTGCAGCACGCTCATACTTTCTGCGTTTCGTTTTTGTCTGTTTGCCTGATTTTCACTTGAGCATCATAATTTTATCCTTATTTTGTCTCTTTTCTCAATCCTAGGGCTGCTCATAGAGAGGACCCTCTAAAGATCTCTGTTGCAAGCTGTAGGGTTTGAATATGGTTTAATGGCCCTCAGTTTTCTCTGGTCCAGCCTCCTGTTCAAGACTGTGACCCACATTATAGCAGGTCAGGGCCTTTTATAGCCAAGCTGTGACAGGATTTCCAAGAATGGAGACCCCCACCACTACCTGAGTGACCTGCTGCAGAGCACTCCCCTGCAGTCCTCCCAGACAAGGTTTTCCTGTCGTTCACCCCATGTCTATCTCCTAATGCTATCTGTTGTTGCTGCAATGGTGCCGTGAGGATCACAGTTCCACTAGGACTGTCTTTGCCAGTTTTCTGTTATTCCCAGGCATACCTTGTTCTTCTGTAACTTGGGAAAACTGTAGGTGCTGCGGAGTCCATTTCAGTGGCAGCCAAATCTTCCATCTATAAACTGGAATAGCAAAGGGCTATTTTTCTGTGTTTCTTAAGCAGAGGCTGAACTTGAGCTTTTACTTCCTTGTTTCCTTTTTTCCTTGTTTGTAGTGAGAATCTTGCAGGTAGGCTTTGTAGGACATCAGTATCTTGCTGTGCATTCCTTCTTCCCATAGCAATGACAGTGTTCTAACAGTGAACTCTCCCCTGCTCTTGGAGACTCATTTCTCAGTTGAGATTGCTGCTGCTGAGAAGTGCAGCATCTCCTGTTCACAAAACCCCTCCCAGATCAGGAGTAGTTCAGCTGGAAGTTCCCTGGAGCATGCTAATCGGCTTCCCTTTGGAAAGCTAATTTTCCTGCTGTAAGGACTTGCTGCATCCAGACAACATGGTGATTTTTTTTTTTCCCCCCAGCAAAGATAAAGTCAAACTCCTGCCTGTAACAAACATGAAGTTGTTTGAAAACACTGCTCTCCTGGGGCTGTACAGGGGCCAGCCCACTGCAGCTCAGTCCTTTTGCCTGTAACATCCCTTCCTCCAAGGCCAGTTTCCCAGAATTGGTGATTTCTTTATCAAGTAGTTAGCATTCCTTTGGTTTGTTTGGGGAAGGTGGCCCGCACAGTTATCAGCTGCACCTAGTGTTTTCTGCACAAGAAATTTAATCAGCTAAAAATATGGGCTGATGCAGGTTTAGTAGAGGTACAACATTCTGTGTTGAAAGTGAGGAACAGAAGGGACTGTAGCAGCCAACTTTGATCTGCTAGGACCGACTTTTTATAGGTTTTATGATATTTGTTGAGGATGGGGCTGGCTCTGAGTTGTGCTGGTGGATGAGAGGAGGGCAGGAACTGGGACGGCACAGGAGACCCAGTGCAACTCACAGAGCAGATGTTGGTGTGTATGTGGGATGCACGTTCTCCGGACCTTTGTGTTGATGGGTGCTTCTACAGCCCCAGTGTGGCTGCTCAGGGTCAAGCAAGACAGGTTGCTGACATTTAACAGCTTCTCTGTGAGGGAAATGAGTGCCAGTTTGCAGTATCATGCTGGATGCAAGGACACTTCAAACCATGGAACCCTTCTTGTCAAATGCTGATGACACATCTTGCTTCCCTATGCTGAGTGCATGCTTTGCTGCCAGGGCTTACCCATGTGAGTGAGTGGTATCTGTTGCTATAACTCAAAAGCTGCTTGGCTGGGACTTCCATCAAACTGCAGCATCACTGCTTCAGCATCACAATTAAACTGTGCCGGTGCACATCAAATGAGGTGCAAAATCCTGTCCCTTTGCCTTTGCCCATACTTGCAGTTGCTTGTGTGGAACTCTTACACCTACAACTTGTTTGCCTGGTCTGCATTTGTTTTCCTTTCCATTCCCCCCAGGTGCCTCTTACTGACTGGCTCTTCCAGAGAGAGGAGTTAGTAGCCAGGGTTGCTCTTTCTGTACTGCACTGGTAGCTTCCTGTGTTAAATCAGTTTTGTCTGTTCCGTAAAGCCACACTGTGCTCTGTGGGAAGGCAGTTCTTCTGTTTGGCATGCTTCAATTTTAATACTGTTTAAAATGCTGTCTGGTGAAGGGCAGCAGCGCAGCTAAAGCCAGACACACTGTCTTTGTCAGTGGGAAAATAAACCAACAGGTGCCTGCCAACCCTCTGTGAAATCTAATTTTTCCTTTTATGCAAGCAAAATGTTGACTTTTTTTTGGTCTTAAGCCACCAAAGAGCTAAATGAAATATGCATCCAGGCTGGCTCATTCACTCCCCTCATCCAGGATGTTTTAACTTCCGTGCTTCCCGAGCGCTGTGCTGCCTGGAGTCCTGTGCCCTGAGCCTCGCCTGGGACCGGCTGGTGGGGCTGGGAGGGAGAAATGCTTCTCTCTCGACCTCCCCTCTTGCCGGCAGAGGCGAAAGGGGGAAATGTGGCCGGACGTACCCATAGCCATGCTATGGGGCCTGCCCTCACGTTGTGCTGCTCTGTGTTCTCCCCACAGATGTCGTGGCTCCCACAGTACCGCAGCTCCAAGTTCCGCCACGTGTACGGCAAGGCCGCCAGCAAGGAGAAATGCTACGACTGCGTGCCCATCACCCACAGCGTCCACGACAACCACTTCTGCTCTGTGAACCCGTACTTCATCGCGGTGGTGACCGAGTGTGCGGGCGGAGGGGCCTTCCTCGTCATTCCCATCCACCAGGTGAGCTCCGTCGAGGCAGGCTGGCTTTCGTGAAGGCTGGAAGAGAACCGGCATTGCAGGGAGGTGGATCTTGCAGAGGATATTCCATGAGTGTTGTTTGCTGAGCTGAAGAAAGCGTGGATAGGGCTCCAGGTTCTCTGGCAGGTGACCTAACGCGTCTTACGTAGCTGCTTGCAGGTTTCCAACGCCTTCCTTCACTAGTATCTCTGTTGCCTTGTGTAATCAGCAGGAACTGTGGTGCTCAAATGTTTGTCTCCTAGGAGGAATGGCAAATCAAAAAGCAGTTAGTAGATACAGAGGGCAAAACCTGAGCGGTGCTTTAGTAGCATGGCTTCAGCTGTCACCAAAGGAGTGGATGATGTTTTGTTGTAACTGCTTTCTCCTTCGCAAAGGAATGCAGCTACGCTTATGAGATAATGAAGCTCTTGAGCTTCAAGCACTGATGCTAGAAAAACTTCCCTTTCAGAAACAAATCCCGTGTTTGTGGGTTTTGATGACTTAGAGATTTGATGAGCTGGCCATCTGACATTTATGCTTTAGAAGAAGTCGGCACACATTAATGTGGATTACTTTCGGGATGAGGTTATGAGCTCTCTGGAATCAGACCAGAAGAGATGAAAGGCAGAAGTTCAGCCTTTAATTAAAAGTTAATTGATGGTATTATTGCAACGCCACTTTTTCAATATGTATTTGCTAAGGATGAAAGTGATCTGAGTGCACTTTAGGAACGTAGTACTGTTCCTGGTCCTTCTAGACTTTGTTTATTCAGTGCATTCACCATTGGTGCTGTTCAGAAACAGTCCTATGATGAACCACTGCCCTGTTTTTCTTTTTTCTGCCCCCTCAACCACAATCTGTTGAGGCTGAAGAGCTCATCTCTGTCACAGAGCTGCATCTGAGCAGGCAGCTGGTGAGTGCAGGACATGGTGTGGGACCCAGCTCTCAAAGCATTGGTAAAATGAACTGAAGATGCTTGTATTGTTTACTGTCAGTTCTTCTGTATTCTCACTACTTCTCAGCTCAGCCCATCTTTGACAATTCTTCCCTTCTTAACACCTGCTTACATACTCCTCCTGGCTATGAAATGTTGTTCACAGAAGTCAGAAGCAAAGTAGAACTAGAAAAGGTAACTAGAAAAGGATAATTAAAGTACACTGTGAAAATGTGAGATGGCTTTCATAGGAGGGAAGACTTTGTAGCATAGGCATCGACCAATCTGGGTGAAAAAGACAAATAAGCCAGACAGGTGAAAAAGTAAATAGGGTGGGGAAGAGGTCTGGCAAGTAATTCTTAATTGCGAGTGGTGAAGGGGACATGATGGGGAGGAGCAGGGTGGTGACAGGCAGAAGCCAACACTTTCGCAGCTCAGATGTGGAGCTCACAGCTCAGGATGCTGATGAGCCTGAAGAATTAAGGGGTTCAAAACGGGACTGGTGTATGGAGAAGAGCTGTGCAGTGAACTGTGCTTATTCAGAGGCAGTTCCCCTAGCTGAGGAAGCCCTCTAAGGCTTAAGCTTTGGCAATGGATAGGGGAAAGCATCTGTATATGCAGTGCTTCTTACAGCCAGCCTCTGAGTACCTTCCCCTCACCCAAGCTGTAGAGGAGAGCTACTTCAGCCACCCTCAGAAAGGGGTTCCCTGAAACTGCCTGTTGTGGTCCCAGTTACCTTTTCCACAATAAGCTTCCAGACTGGTGCCAGCAGGTGAAAAGCTGCAGCTTTTGACTTGTATTCCTTAAGGTGGTCTTTGTGGTCACTGCCTTCTGTGGTGCCGTGACAGCACCCCTCTTGGCTCCTGACCCGCTGCCGTGGAGCCGACAGCAGCCTGGTCTGGAGGTGTGTGTGGGGCAGTGCTGTCCCCACATGGCTGACTGCTAATCCGTGGCTATTTTTGACTGGATGCACAGGGAGCAGACACAGCCCCACGTACAGCAGTGTGGAGGAAGAGCCTGGATGTCACCTTTGGCTGAAGTGGGAAGTGGCACCCAGACAGTGGGGGCTGTGCTGGACTGTGCTTTCTAGGGAGGATGAGCAGGCTGTGCGGGAAGCTGCTCCCATCCCGTTCTGTCCCCTTCTTGCAGTTTATTCTGTGTCTGCATGCAGAGGGGCTGCTTGCGTCAGCATGTGCTCTAATGCAAACTCAGCCTTGATGGATTTAACCGTGTTCGTCATGTTCCTGTCCTGCTGATTCATGGAAACGTGCGCTCATTTCTCCTTGAAGAAATGCTTCTGTCTGCTCCTCCCCTCCCCTCCCC